ATCATGAGCATAAGAAAATGATTATTGGTTTTTTTTTTTCCTTTTTGTCTCTTTTTTACTGACTGGTAACGGGATCGCAGCCCTCGGCGTTGCGCCCGCACCATGCTCAGCCAGTGAGCGGGAACCGGTCTCCACATGGGATCCGAACCCTCGGCGGGAGCGCCACCGCACTCCCAAGCGGCGCACTCTCCAGTGTGCCACCGGGCTGGCCCAGAAAATGATTATTGTTTTATGCCACTCCATTTTGGGGTGGTTGTGGTTTCATGCCAGTATGGTTTGGGGTGGTTTGTTATGCAGTAATAGGTAACTAGAACAGATGTTGAAGAGTGTATTTGCATTACTCAGCTATTGTCACAATAATGCAGCATAACACATGACTTCAAAACCCAATGGGTTTTGGGCCGACCCTGTGGCTCACTCGGGAGAGTGCGGCACTGGGAGCGTAGTGGTGCTGGGAGTGCCGAGGCCGCAGGTTCGGATCCTATATAGGGATGGCCGGTGTGCTCACTGGCTGAGCATGGTACAGGCGACACCAAGCCAAGGGTTGCAATCCCCTCACCGGTCACACACACACAAAAAAACCACACACACACACACACACACTCAAAAAAAAAAAAAAAACCCAATGGGTTTCAACAAGCATTTACTTTTCTCACTCATGGGTATGTGGGTTGACTGGGGTACTTTTCTTTAGGCTGTGAGGGAGACTGGGCTTGGTCAAGTCTTCAGGCTGGATTCAGATACACTCCCCTGTCTTTGTTCCGGTGGCAGGCTAAAGAGGCAGCATCACCCAAGATACACTAGGTCACATGTATGCAGGGGTCCAAGCGCAATTCTGTAAAAACATTTTGATGTCTTCTCTTGCATCACATCCACTTGGTCTGTTGGCTGAGAAGTCACCTGACCCAGCCCAAAGTCAATGAAATGAATAAGTACATTCTTATCAAAGTGGGAGAAAGAAAGGAAGAAATATGTGCTGAGCAATACTCTGCCCTATCACCAAACTCAAGCATCAGATGATGGTGGCTGTGATGGTTAGTGATGTCAGACTGGATCAATTTTAAGGCATTTCTATAATTCAATCCTTATACATCTAGAACCCAGAGAAAACACATATAAGTGTTGTGGAGGAAGGTGCCTAATACAGGAATCATTTTTTTTCACTAGATATCCACAAGTAGGAGGCATGTAAATTATGAAAAGACAAAAAATGTAATAGAAGAGCAAAAGGAGAGGGATTAAGAAAAGAAATAAAGAAAAAGAAGGCGGAAAGTGAAACCCTTTCATAGAGAGATATGGTAGCATCACCAACTGTTGCTGAGGCCCAGAGAGGACACCTGCTTCTTGGTTTGCCTCACAAGTAGGCAGAGTGGCTATAGGACAGCCAGTTTCTGGAAGAGGCCCCAAGAGACCAGCTCCTTTCTAAGGAGAGGTTTTGCTAATTCGCTGACAGAGACATCTGGCGTAGTTTAAGGCACCCCCAAGCATTGCTCTCTCACTCAGCCTCACACTTATGCCCATTGACAATGCCAACAGTTCAGGGAGTGCCTCATTCCCAATTGAAGGTTAACTATTAATGCAGCTCTGGGGTGCACAGGAATAACACAAAAAGCTATGGGCAGCAAACAGAGTTGGAGCAAGGGGGATTCAGAAAGGCTGTGGGAGGGAGGTGGTATCTAAACTGAGAATGGAAGGAGAGGCAAAAAAATGTGGGAGCAACACACAGTCCGGTTTTCATTGCATGCAAAGAGGGCACAAGGCTGAAGAGCAGGCTGAGGCCAGATCCTAACCGACCTTGAATGCCAGGATGAGGAACAGATTCTTAATGCAGTGGCAGCCACTGACAGCTTTTGAACAAGAAGTGGTAAAAAGGAGTTGTCCTTCAATATTATTCTTCCATGCTTCTTAAGTAAAATAAGCCCCAATTTTTAACTGGTTCATACCTGTGCAAAATAAAGATTGCATTTCCCAACTTCTCTTGCACCTAGGTGTGGTCATTTGACTAAATTCTCATTAATAAAATACTGTATAAGAAAAATAATGTGTGCAACTTTTAGGAAGTATATTCTTAAAAGGAGAAGGCATGCCCTCGTTGTTCCTTTTTTCCTGCTGGGTGGAAGCTGAACCTAATCCTAACATGTATACATGTATTAGTCGTTAGGAAGAATAGCTTCGGGCAAGGCAAAATACAGGATGATTGGAATAAGAGCAGCATTGGAGGTGGGAAGACTAATTCGGAAAGCAGTTTAATAGCTCAAATAAGTGAGGAAATAGGAACTGAGCTAGTAAAGTAGCAGTGGGAATGAATGAGAGGGGTGGACGTGATAAATATTGCAAAAGGAGTGTCTCTGGGACGTGGCAATTGATCAGATGAGAGAAGATACTAGAGAGGGAAAAATCAAAGGTCACTCTGAACTTTCACACAGAAGTGACTGGTTGGTCAAAGATATGTTAGCAGAAATAGGGGAGTCAGAACCATGGCAAGCTAAGGGAGGCAACTATGAGTTTGGTTTGGAACATTTTGAGTTGGGATGTCTACAGGATGTCCAGGCGGAGAAGTAAAGCAGGCAATTGGAAATTCATTTCTACAGCATGATTTGAAAATCTTTTGCATAAAAGTGGTAGTCAAAACAAAAAGAAAGGCAGACTGGCAAAATAGAGCATGTGTCTGAAGGAACTATTCTTTCTTCAGTGAACACAGAAATAAACCACATTCCGGAAAACTAGATAAAAGATACGTACAACACTTCACCTGACAGGCATTCCCTCGTCTTACAGAAAAACTCCTACAAGCCCCAGACAGGAGCCGGCTGGTTTCAAGGAATGAAATCCTCAATCTCAAAGTTTGGACAGCTCCTTAAAGTTTCTTATGAAGGCATTTTGATTGGCACAAATATCTGTCATGACGTGTTTTAAAATGACTCCTTTTGAGCGAGAAATCTATACTAAATTGTCTTCTTCCTTAATTCAGGTTAGCCACACGTAGGAAGACTACCCTTTCACAGAAGTCTTAAAAGAACAATTACTTTCAAAAGCAGAAGAAAAAAACATAAAAATATAATAAATGTGACCCAATAAAACGACTCTGCAGAGATTGCCCTTTCATCTGCCGTGGCCAGAGCAGATATTAAATAAATCGATAGAACGTGAACAATAAGGAACCACCTTTCAGGTTGGTCAAAACATTGAGCTATTTTTGCGCCAGGGCTGGGGCCGGAGGGGCTGGAAGAGGTTAAAATCCAGTGGCTTGTGTTTCCGCTGAGGTTACGTGGCAGAAACCAACTGGAAGCGGTGGCGTGAGGGCTCTGTTTCTTCTAGAAGAGTTGTACGTCTGCAGCCCGCATGCCGCAGACAGCTGTCTGGAGACCCAGGGCCCCTCCGGGAGGCCCCGCGCCACGCTCCTCGGAGCGCCTCGGTGCGTGCAAAGGCGCGGCCCGGGCGCTACGTTGGCGCCACCGCGAGTCCCCTTTCTCCGGCTGGTAGTGCTTTGTTAGAGCCCTTCCCGGGCGTGTGATACGGCTCCTCTCATGCATCCCCCGACTCCTCCCTCCTTGGTCCCAGGGCCAGGGCCTGTGTTGGGCACCGTGGCGTGGTTTACCGCATGAAATCCCGCAGGGCCCCTGGAGGAAAGGATTTTACGCACGAGTAGGACGCGGCGGGGGTACCGCCGGGGCCCCTCAGTACGCCCGGCCCCTCCTCCGCTGGAGAGGCCGGAGAGCTCTCGGGCAGACCGCGGGCCACGCGGAGGGCGAAAGTACCAACGCTGGAGGGACGCGTTCCCCTACCCCATCCCCAGGACGAGGAACGCCGCCGCGTTCCACATTCTCCCGTGCCCGCTGCCTCCGAGACCCAGACCCGGCCGGCCCGGCGAGGCCCCGGCAGGTGCCAACGAGCCTGGGCCGTCCGTCAGGCCGCGCCTCCCCGCGGTCGCCCGGAGCCGGCCTGGGTTGGCGGGCCGGGAGGCGTCTGGACTGCCGGCGCCGGGATTGAGCCA